CCCCGGCCCGGTCCGGCCCAGCGGGCAGGGGGCCCGGGCGGCGAGGGAGCGGTGAGTGCCAGCTCTGAACTCTGCCATCTTCTTCCTGCTGCAAACGAGCCCACCCCGCTCCATCTACCCCCAGGGAAATGGGCTCCAGGCGACCTCCCCGAGGACAGAGTCTGGGGCAAGGAGACCTCGGGAGAAGAGTGCCCCGCGGGGTCAGTTCAAAACTACCAGGGCGGAGCTGCTTCGGTGTCTGGGTGAAGTTTTCGACCAACCCCAGGAGGAAAGCGAGAGGGAAGAGGTCGAGAGCTGTTAATTCCCAGTGCTTTTGCTGCTTGAAAACAGCCCCACTTGGAATGCTAGGCGCTGAAAATCACTGGGGGGGGGGCTGAACCCCACCATCTCCGGGCTCCAGTCCCAGGCGGGAGCGTCGACCCAGGAGAAAGGGTAAAATGAGGGCCGGAGGGGCAAGGAGGAAGGGAAGACAATCGAAGGAAACCCGTGTCTAGACTTATCCCGAGCCCTCTCGCCCTCTCTCTCTCTCTCTCTCTCTCTCTCTCTCTCTCTCTCTCCCCCTCCCTCCCCCGCTCCCCCTCTCTCGGCTGCCCGCAAAAGCCCCAGGTCCCCTCTGGGGACCAGTACTGCCTTCACTTTTTAGTGACTGCAGAGAAAAGAAGCTCCAGAAAGTATTTCACTTACAGTGACAAACAGTGGCAGCCACTGACGTGATCGGCTGCACCTCAGGTTGTTGGGACCAGGCATTCATTCATGCGCGTGAACGCCCATATTGCTGTACAGAGGTTGGACGTATAAAAAGCGAGTCCCCCGGAGATCACGAATAATTGGAGGAAACTCTAAAGTCCTCCACCGAGGTAAGGGGTGTTTATCCTCTGATGTGTCCCGGTATCCTGAGAATTTCTGTTCCCTCTGGTGCTCTGGATCAGGCAGAGTGGGGTGCTAGAGCTTAATCCCCACATTCCCTTTGGAAATGTGCATGGATTTCCTCAGGGTCCTCCAGGATACCTCCAGATACCTTCATGGTTGTCACTGGTACATCATCTTCACTGAGTTATGAAGCCCTGCCTTCCCCAAGCACTGCTAGGAGAATGTAGCAAATACAAAGTTTAGAAAAGCATGAGCCCTGATAACCTAAGAGCTTACCATCTTGTGTAAATTTTGTGTACCTAGTAAATGGTACTGTCAGCTGCACTGACAGCTCGGAGCCCTGAGCCTGCTTCAGATTCTGTGTCTCCCTCTGTCTCTCGGCCCCTTCCCTGCTCGTGCTGTCTCTCTCTCTCTCAAAAATAAATAAATCTTTAAAAAAATTTTTTTAAATGTTCATACTCCTGGGGCACCTGGGTGGCGCAGTCAGTTGATCGACTAACTTCAGCTCGGGTCATGATCTCACGGTTCATGAGTTCAAGCCCCACATCGGGCTTCCTGCCGCCCGCCTGTCAGTGCAGAGCCTGCTTTGGATCTTCTGTCCCCCTCTCTCTGCCCCTCCCCTGTGTGCACTCTGCCAAAAATAAATAAGTATTAAAATGTTCATATTCCTCAACCCAGAAAGGCTACTTGAAGTCACGTATCCTAAGGTTACAACCAAAAAGTACATAAGAATGCATACGAAAAGATGCATGTCGGGATAGCTATAATTGTGGGAAAACTAGGAACAGATTAAAATTTTAACAGATTTTTAAGTAAATGACAGTATTTTTATGCAGCAAGTACTACATAGTCATTAAAAATGATGTATTACAATATTTAGTAGCATGCAAAAGTATTTTCATTATCCATTGTTAAGAAAGAAAAACACAGGGTACAAAACAAATGTATACCCTGACCTCAAGCTACTTCATATATATGAAGTTATATTTAAGTATATAATTTACATATTTATATAATGTTATGTGTATATGCATAACCAGAGAAAAACCTGGAAATATATACACCAACTTTTAACAGTGGCTATCCTTGGAATTAAAGATGATTTGTTTTCAGTTTGTAATCAAGCAATAAAGACCATCATGCTAAAGCTCTTTTGGGTTAGCGGTCAGGGCAATAAGATGACAGCAAGACAAGGAGGAAGAAACAGGGCAGTGGACAGAAATGTTTGGGCACTGAACTGAGGCATTACCATTGGAAAACTCTCAAACATTGGAGCCCAAATTGCACAACAAATAATCTTTTCCAACAAATAAGCCGTGGTGGGGGAGCGGAACATTGGACCATAATAACCTTGTATAAAAAGTAACCAGAATCCCATTTCATATCCAGAGGCTAGAGAGGCCAAGGGCATGTAGGTTATAATGGGATACGACTTATCTGGAAACAGTGGCTTGCATTCATTAGCTGGTCTATTTCCCTATTTATTTTTCCCTGTTATTTTCCCTGTTTATCTCCTCACCATGACTGAACTTCATTTCCTCCTTGGACCATGTTTATACCACTGAGCACGATTCTCCTTGAAAGAAAGGAAAGAAGCAAACCAGAAGTTCCTGGTCGTACTCAGTCATATACAGACATTACCCAGGATCCCCGGGGCAGTGGTCCTGTCCCTCTGTTTTAACAGAGCAGATGACTGACATCCCCCAGGGTGAGATCCTGCCCAATTGCTTATTGCATCCATTCATCCATTAACACATTTTTTGAATGCCAAGTACAAGTCAGACATCTGGTTCGGCGTTGGGTCCAGGAACACTGGCTCCTCAGGTACCTCTTATCCCATTCTAGGGAAATAATCTCCCAGAATCCAAACTTCAGAATTTTACTACAGTAACACAATTGATTAAATTTAGAGTCGAAATAGCTCTAATTTCCACCAAGGAAAGAGGAGCATTATCCTGTCGTCCTCTGCGTCTTGTCACTTTGTCTCTCCACTCTCAACATATAATTACAACAGATCATCTACTACTGTAATTTCCGAAGGAAAGATTTTGAGGGTCTCCATAGAGATTATGCATTTTCTGGTCTCCATGGAGATACTTACTAACCGATGGAATTATTTTCATCCCCCGGCCCTCTTTGTCTTTTGTGTTGACTTAAGGATAAGAATAGGGCAATGAATTGTGATCTGACACATATTCAGGACCACAAAGGACATTTCCATACCCCTAGATAGAACCCCTCTGAATACAGAACCCTTGGTTATTGATTCCCCCTAAGCCAGTGAGTAGTCTTAGCCAAGCTCAAAGAGTGCAGCCGAAAACAAGAATTCAACAATCAGTCCCTTCAATTCTCCTTCTGAGTTGAAAAGATAAACACCCCCAAATGCCACTTTATAAAGAGCAGCTAGGCAAGTAGCACATTAGCAATTTAAATGCACAGATTAAAGAAAGGGACTTACATGGTGAACTTTAAAGAGAGAAATATGAGTAACTTGGATAAGTAACTAACAGAAGGCTTGACAAATTTCTACACATGTTCAGCAGGTGAAGACACAAAAGAGGAAGACAGATTATTAAGACTGGTATAAAGAAGCATGGTTAGCCATAGTTGATGACATGACAGCAAGAAAATATACGCTAGAGCCCCAGGGAAAGATCCAGCCACATTGGCGCAAAGGAAGTGTCATTCTCTGGGTGTGGAGATAGGACCGCGAGCTCTCACAGCAACCTATGACTGGAAGTCAGTTTGAGGCCCTGCATTTGTCTGCCAGGGCCGCCATGAAAAAGCACCCTGGGCCTGGTGGCTTGACAGAAATGTATCTCCTCACAATTATGAAGGCTGGAGGTCGGGGGTGTCACCGGAGGTTGATTCTTCTGAGGCCTCTCTCCTTGGCTTGGAGGCGCCCGTCGTCTCCCTCTGTCTGCACATCGTCTTCCCTGTGCATCCTGATTTATTTTTAGAAGGACGCCTGCCATATTTGATTAGGGCTCACCCTAATGACTTCATTTTAACTTCATTCCCTCTTTTTTCTGTTTTTAAGATTTTATTTATTTTTTTAAAAGTTCATTTATTTATTTTTGAGAGAGAGAGAGAGAGTGCATGCGCATGTGGGGAAGGAGCAGAGAGAGAAGAGAGAGAGAGAATCCCACCAGTGCAGAGCCCGATGCTGGGCTGAAACTCAGGAACCGTGAGGTCATGACCTGAGCGGAAGTCAGATGCTTCACCGACTGAGCCACCCAGGTGCCCCTAAAATTTTATTTTTTGAGTCATCTCTGCACCCAAGGCGGCACTCAAACTCACAAGCCTGGCATCAAGAGTCACATGCTCTTCCAACTGAGCCAGCCGGGTGCCCCAAACTTAATTACATCTCTAAAGACTTCATCTGCTGGGGTGTCTGGGTGGCTCAGTCGGTTAAGGGTCCAACTTTGGCTCAGGTCATGATCTCCCGGTTCGTTTCGAGCCCCCGGTCAGGCTCTGTGCCGACAGCTCAGAGCCTGGAGCCTGCTTCCAATTCTGTGTCTCCCTCTCTCTCTGCCCCTCCCCCGCTCTCACTTTGTCTCTCAAAAATGAACATACGTTAAAAAAAATTTTAATAAATAAAGACTCCATCTGCAACTACAGTCACATGCTGAGACACTGAGGGTTAAGACCCCAACATAGGAAGGGGGTGGGGCACCACTCAGCGACAACACCGCCCTTTCACTGCTGTTCTGACCACTCGCTTTATCTGGTTCCTTCAGGCTCAGCTCCATGAGTGAGGGCTTCCTTTCTCCTCTCCCAAGGCCTGGGGACCATTCTACACAGTTCACATTTCACATTTATGCTAATAGAAATTGCTTCATATTTCCGTGGGCGTAGTCCCTAAAGTTTTTCTCATGCAGAAACTAGGGCATTAATCCCCAACCACTGAACAACCGAGGGCAGACGCAGGGAACAGAAGCACGTATTTACTTGGTAAAACATTTCTAGTTAGAAGAAATTATCTGGAATGCATGGCAGAATCTGCCAGAAGAGAGTTCAAAATTAATAAATACTCATTTCAGCCCAAAGGTTATACTCTAATAAAGTCTCTTTTTCTCTCTAGTGCCTCCTCGGCCCCTGAGGGTCGCTGCACTTGAAGGTACAGGATGTTTGGGGACTAAGCCCACCCCAGGCAGGGACTTTTTGTTCTACATTCCTGGGGTGGCAATTCTGGGGGCTCACACCGGGGAAGTTTAAGCTGTTTAGAAGGGAGCATTAGCACAGGCTCACTAGGAAAATTCTCATGTGCAATTTTGCCTGGCAAAAAGCCAATTAACAGAGCTTGTCACCCTCTGAGCAGCGGCCACTTGACCCTGCCAATCAGCTCATAAAGGCTTCAGTACACAAAGCCTCATCAAGCGCTGTGTGTGTGTGTGGATTTCTCTCCCTCCTGAGGCTGGGTTTGCGTGCAAATGTATCCAGAAAGGGCATAAATGAAATCATCCCCAGAAGGGTGATGTCATCTATCCCCCAGTCTCGGAACTACAGTGCCAGTTCTTAAAAGCCCTTGGCCCTGTTTTCTGACAAGGAAGACAAATGGTAGAAAGTGATTTTAATTTTCACTTCAAGGAGATCTAGGGAATTATGTGCTTAAGGAACGTTGTATAACCACACAAAGGTAAAATGTGCCTCTGAGTGGTAGGCATCGGTTCCAGAATGCACACAAACAACTATGGGTGGAATCCTCATGAAAATACTGACCTAACACAACCCTGTCATCAAGGATCCACCAGAAAAAAAAAAGATTTAAGCAAGCATGTAGCTTCATACCTTGATTTTCCAGCCCGGTTTTATTTGGTTTCCTAAGAAGCTATGTTAGCGAGACTATTAGAGCTCTTTGAACAAGTGACAGAAACCTAGCTCAGACCTTCGTAACCACGAAAGGGAAATTTTAGCTCAGTGATGGAAATCCATCACTGGCTTGGATAAATCCAGGAGGGCGTGTTCAATGATGAGATCAGAACTCTGTCTTGCACTGACTCTCTTCTTTGCTAGCCTCTGCTTCATCCTCATGTGGGTTTTCTAGACCAGGTGTCAAGAATCTCTCTATATGGTCTTTGTAATCCCAGAGAGAAAAGAGTAATTTTCTCTCATCCAATGTCATATACCAAAGCTAGTGGAGGGACTCAAATTTATGTACGTTCTTGTGACCAGAAGGCAAGAGAAGACGCAGGGATGGTCCTTTCTAGTCCAGATAGTATGGAATGGACATACAGGACATGTCCCTATTCCTGTATAGAAGATATGTCCCATCCCTGTATAGAAGACACAGGGATGGAACAGTCTAGTCCAGGTAGTGTGCCATGTGCAAGAGGCAGTTCCTGGATAGAAAGATGTCTAGGGCACTTGGATGGCACAGTCAGGTAAGCAACCTGACTATCGGTTTCAACTCAGGTCATGATCTCACCGTTCGTGAGTTCAAGCCCCACATCGGGCATCACGGCTGGCAGCACGGAGCCTACTTGGGATTCTTTCTCTCTCCCTCTCCTCTGCCCATCCCCCCTCCCTCCCTGCCCCTCCCCCACTTGCACTGTCTCTGTCTCTCTCAAAATAAGTAAGTAAACTTAAAAACAGAAAGAAGAAAGAAAGAAAGACTCCTGGCCTGAGACATTCCACCTTTGGCTGCCCAGCACATGTACACGCATGCACACGCGCGCACAAACACACATACACACACACACACACACACACACACACACACACACACACACACTTATATGCACCCAGATGTTCTCTTTTCCCATTTATGATTTCTTTTATGCACGCCTCTCCCCAACATAATACAGCCAACCCATGCATAACTATTCATGTGCTTTTCTCTTCTCCGAAGCAAGCCAAGTGCCTTCTAATTAGGTCAACCATTCCTACTCTGGGGGCTCTGGATAATATGTATTCTTCTCTGTCAAGTCTGGATGTAGCTTTTCACAGGTCAGCAATCTACTGTATATCTACATCGTAAATGTTAGCACGCTTAATGTGTTTAACGTGAGAAAAAAAATTGATAACCACCTTAAAAACTCTTCTCTGAAAAGAAGGGGAAAAAATAAGCAGGTGTCATCATGAGTCCGTAAAATACATGATATTTTCTTGGTAAATGAGGTGGTCAGGAGAGGGCCGGGTCAGCCACTGGCACTGAACTTGTCTCTGTTCTTTGAAAGGTTCTCCATATTCTGTGGCCTTCCATGGCCACCCTGGAGAGGAGCATATATATAGGCTGGCCTTCTGGAGTGTGCACGGCTTCAGCAGCCCACCTCTTATTGCTGAGGATTTGGGGTCCCGGGGATGGTCTTTTTTTTTTTTAATTTTTTTTTCAACTTTTATTTATTTTTTTGGGGACAGAGAGAGACAGAGCATGAATGGGGGAGGGGCAGAGAGAGAGGGAGACACAGAATCGGAAACAGGCTCCAGGCTCTGAGCCATCAGCCCAGAGCCTGACGTGGGGCTCGAACTCACGGACCGCGAGATCGTGACCTGGCTGAAGTCGGACGCTTAACCGACTGCGCCACCCAGGCGCCCCCTGGGGATGGTCTTAAGTGTAGACTTTCTCCTTCCCAACTTTCTCCTTCCCAACACCCTTAGTATCTCAGTAATTTTTCATAGGAACCCTGAGCCAAAGGAAACACTCAACAGTCCATCCAATTAACTAAGAAGCTATGTACAAGCAATTTAATAAATATTTCTGTCTTAGTAACTTAGTAGCCCTTTAAAAAAAGAACACAGTAAATTAGAAAATAATCTGTTAATTTCAGTCTTAAATTACCACCATTACTTGCTAAGGGGACATATGTTCCTTTTGGACACTGTACAGCTTCTCAGACCTTAGAATGAGATTGGACATATTTCTTCAGTTCTTCAATTCTTGTTACACACTGATTTTTTATCATAGCAGCTGTCAAAATATAAGCAGTTGCTTGGATGATATACGACATCATTGAAAAGAATGTAGCATGATCTCATGTTGAAACTGTGGACCACCTGCCAATGTGATGTCCAACAGATGCTTAATCTGCTGTATTTCTTGAAAATTTTAAATACCCTGTGGTGCCTCTGTGAATTCTTTGCAGTACTCAGGACACCTGGGGGCAGAGTTTGGGAACCATGGTTTTAACAATTTACCAATAACAGGTTTATGTTTGCCCTTGTGATAGAAGTCCCTTGAAAACTGAGTAGGAGACCAAAGCCACAAACCTGTTGAGTCAGGGTCTTGGAATCTGAACCTTTTCATTGCATTTTCTGGCCTTTTTATACCAAGAGCCTCCTGAGTGTTGGGCTGTGGCACACCAGTATGGTGAAAGTGCATGCCCATGGTCCCTGGCAAATGGGCAGTCCCAAGGCATCCAGAGCCCCCGGCCGGTGGCCTCTGGACGGAGGAGCACCGTCTTCTGTTCAGACCAGTTCACCTTACAAATACTATCTTTACGTAGATACGGATGTTACAAATATTCATTCTCAGTACCTGTTGCATCCAAATTCTACAAATGATCCGGGTCCTGAAGTACAAAGAAGAACAATTCAGCCAGCTCCAAATCAAGCATCCAACAGGTCAGGGGGCACCAGCTTCTCTAGTACGGGAACTCCTACAGCCTCCCATTCTGTCTCACCCATGCCAATTTTTCTCTCACATCTTCCATTCCTGGTTCCAGTTTTTTACTTGTCTGGACTCTGTTGGTTTCACGCAACAGAAACCCAGTTAAAATTAGCTTAAACACGAAGTAAGTTATCTCATTTAATGGGGAAATCTAGTCTTTATAAGCCAGTCACAGTCAAGTTGAGAGAGTAAAATTGTAAAAGGTCAAGGTAGCTGCTGACAACTCAGTTTGGGGATTCAAAGAAGGTGATCAGGACTCCATGTGCCTTTTTTAAAAAAATATTTATTTATTCTGAGAGAGAGAGAGCACGAGCTGGGAATGGGCAGAGAGAGAAGGAGACAGAGAATCCCAAGCAGGCTCTGCGCTGACAGCAAGGAGCCCAACACAGGGCTCGAACTCACAAACCATGAGATCATGACCTGAGCAGAAGCCGAGAGTCTGACGCTTAACTGACTGAGCACCCCAGGCACCCCAGGATTCTGTGTGTCTTGGTATTTTGGCTCATTGGTTCCTGCTTGTGTTACTTATCAGACAGGCTCTTTCCATAGGATAGCAGGATGATTATGTCAGCCTTAGACCTTTATCATCCTAAGGGTTTAAGAGCCCAGATTAAAGGGAGCATCCTTCATGAGAGCTCTGCCCAGAATTCATAGGGAAGATTCTGATTGGCTGGAGCAGTGGGAGGGACAGAATTATCCCATCAGAATCCAGGGACAGAGGACAGGTTTTTTTTGTGGGTGGCAGTACTCTAAATAAAGTGACACTGAACAGACAGCCCTATACCCCTTAGAGGGGGGGAACTGGAGGTTTGCTCTGAGTAGCTGCTTAATCTGACTGTGGGGAAATCTTTCTTATTAAGTTCAGGATCTTCTTAGAGAGTTGTAAGCATCAGGGACTGGCAAACTTTTCCTGTAAAGGGTGGGACAGTCAATATTTTAGGTTCATGGAACATGTGATCTCTGTCACAGTTACTCAACTCCACTGTTGTATCAACAAAGTAACCACACACAAAATGAATTCAAGTGAGCATAGCGGAAACTCTGTTTACAAACACAGCTGGTAAGTTAGATTTGCTCCCTGGGCAGTAGTTTGTTGACCCCTGCTCTGGATAAGTGACCTTGGAAAGTTGGGTGTATGGTCAGACCATTGCAGAGAGTTTAAACAGGACAAGTTTAGGGGAGTACACAAAGGAGGAAAAAGAAAGTACAGTGACACTACATGGATATGTAGAGTTCACAGAAAGAGACCAAGGAGCTATCCTGGACCATATATTGTAAGTAAGTCCTTAATACATAATTGTAATTAAAGATAAAGGCAGGGTCCAAAATACATGTGTAACTGGAAAGAACACAAGGAAGCAAGTTTTTGTAGGCAGGATTCAGGCCCTCTGGGAATATTACCAGTGGACCTTCACAATGAAAATTGAGTCATACCAAGAGTAACTATCGGGGTGCCTGCGTGGCTCTGTCTGGTAAGCGTCCGATTCTTGATCTCAGCTTAGGTCTTGATG